TGATGTATTTTTTGCGTGTTCAGAATTTGTTTTCAGCCGAAATATAAATTACGTAATGCCCCAACATGAAATAGAATGCAATTGACAGGGCATCGTGTACGTTCAGATAAGGTCTAGGAGTGTTTTGGCGACAACCTCTTTCGATAATGGCCATTGACAGCCATCTCCTAGCTCTCAATTTTGTGTTTTTGGTTAAATCCAGCTCTTGAAGGGCTAAACATTTGCTCTCAAAGCTAGAACAAGTCCCAAAACCAAGCCGTTTGCAATAACTCCAGGGTTTACGGGATACAAATCTCGCAACTGTTTATCTATCTTGGATAGATCTGTAAACCGACTACACTCCATTTGCTTTCCAACCTCGCGAGTTCTTGATGATATACTGTAAGCGTTTCGTCGGTGCTCTTATGTGACTTGCATCTAAGTAATACAAAATGAAGCTCGTGTTTATAACTTTTTTTTGCTTCTAACGAGTTGCAAAAACGCTCCCCGACAGTTTGTGCTCCCAGAGCATTTTCCGTTCTCCCAAGCTCTCACGGCCGTTACTATTAGATTATAAGCTCGAGATTTCTATCGCGTGATAGTTGACGAGGGCGCAGCCCTCGTCAACTATCACGCGCAGAAATCGAGAGCGAATAATCTAATTGTTTTAGTATAAATGTACTAGTCGTTCAAAACTTTATATAAATCCTCTTCACAGACACTTCGAAAACGCCGAGAAGCGGCAGTCATTTTGTTAACAAGAGTACACTGCTACGCTACTCACTATCTATCACAGAATAGATAGTGAGTAGCGTAGCCAATCAGAGAACGGCATTCGTGATAGAACGCTAGAAGATTTATACTAAAACTCAATAGAAACATACACATCGTGTTCCCTGTAAGTTTAGAGAACAGATTGCTATTCTACAACACGTTGAAAGAATTCTTATGCTATCTTACTAAACCTTTGACTAAATCTCTCAGGATTTGTAAAGGCTACGTCAATTTGAAAAACCTGTCCTGGGGAAATAGAACGACGTGGTAACCTAG